CTCAAATAAATAAATAAAATCTTTAAAAAAAAAAAAAGATTTTTTTCTACTGTTTTAACTATTCTCCATCAGCTTCTCTGAAACTCCTGTTTCTTTCACAAACTCTGAAAAGAACACGTGTTTTGGAGAAAGAAAATACTTTAGAAGCACATCTTAACATCTATGCAAATACAAGGTAAGTATTATTTGTGATGATAAAGTAGGGTAGGGCAAAAGAAAAATAAATGTTTGGTGTTTTGTTTGAGAATTCTCCTGTCAATTACAGCTGATTGCCAGCAGCTCACCATATGAAGCCAATGTTCCTTCCCCTGCAAAAAAAAAAATTTTAAGGAAATAAAAAGTAAGAAAAAATGACAGAGGACAGAAGAGAACCAAAACAATAATATGACAGACCGGAAGGAGGGTTACACAAGATAAGTAAACTCTACAATGACAATATTCTCCTAACTCTTCCAATAACAACAGTAAAAGGTCAGATACCTTCCAAAGAAGCTGGGGTTTAGATTTCACTGTATCTAATTAACAGAATTCCACTGGAAACAATTTTTCTTCCCAGTAGCCAAAATCTACCATCAGGTGAGTTAACACTATACACTCATCAAGTATTGCTACACTATGCTAAGCTCTTCCTCTGGAATTATAACATTTTTTTTTTTTTTAAGTTTTATTCATTCAACAGCAGCTCCCCTAAAATGAATTTTAAAAGTACTAATAACAAATTCAAAATTCTGGATTTATCTAAGAAAATGTCAATTTCTTCCCCCAGAAACCTACCCAAATAAAAGGCAAAGGTTCTTCAATTCTCATTCTCTGGAGAAAATACCAGGTAGACGGCTGAAATGAAGTTGCTGGGAAATATACTTCCAAACACTTCTTTAAAGAGCCCCCAAAATACATGCCATTAAGAGATCATTCTACAGCTAAAGTAAATCATGAGCATACCCCCCCCACAAATGCCCTGCATATTAACAGCTCCACAACAAGACTTACACAGTTCTTGGCCCTCAATTAGCTCCTGGTAGATCCGGCAGAAAACGTGTATTCCATAGTCACAACCCTTCCAGCAATTACATCAAGGAGGGATAGAGGGCCATGGGGGCTCTAGTCCAACCCCTTCGTTTTAGAAAAGGGCCTGCAGTAAGGAATGAAGTTAACTTTCACAGCCTTTTGATATCAAGGCCCACCCAGAACCGAGAGCTCCAGCTCCCAGGTACAAACATGAACGCATAGCCCGGGAGGGGCCAGAAGGGCAAAGGCTCTGAGTCAGACTACCGGCAACCTCACCCATCTCACCCGCCAGCTGTTTGTACGACCTTGAGCACCTAAACTTCGCCTCTCAATTTCCACATCTGCAAAATGGGAGTCAGGCCCCCACGACCTGGGGCCGTCGGAAGAGTCAAGGCGCTGGGAACTCGCTCCGAGGCTCCCCCGCTCATCCGCTCCCAGCGCGCCCAGCGCTCGTGGCACCCACCTGCACGTTAGGGAAGGCGGTCTTGAGCAGGTAGAACATCTTGCGGTTGGACAGCACGTCCCCGCTGGTCATCTTGTCCTCGGCTCCCTCGCGCGTCTTCCCCTTGGACTTCTCGTGGAGGACGTTGCTCTCGCGGACGCGCCTCACTTCGTCGCCGCCGCGAACAGCGGCCAACACCGACACGGCCAGCATCTCGCGGAGGTCCACCGTGCCCCCATCGGCCGCGGCTGCGGGCCCCGCCGCCCCGCCGCCGCCTGGCTCGCCGCCGAGGCCGAAGAGGCTGAAGCGGCCGGCCAGAAAGCCCGAGTACAGGTGGTAGAGCACGCCGAGCCCCAGCAGGCAGAACACGGCCACCCCCAGCGGGGACAGGCGGATGCCCATAGGGGCCATGGCGCGGGAGGCCGGGGCTCGGGGCGCCGGCCCTCAC